GTAAAAGTGGTCGTATTGAGCTGCCACGTGTTGATGAAAGGTTAGGCAAGTAATCAGGAGCAACAGTTTTCTAACCGTTGCTGTTTATAGTTGTTTTTGGTATGATATCAGGAAAATACAAACTGGGCTCCAACTGGAGATATTTGTTTTGCAGTTTTCAATTTCAGCGGCATACAAACTATGTTAGAAAAGCACGAGTCAGAAACTTTATGTCCTGCAGAAGCGGTAACGAAGGACTGAAGATTCCCGCTACACTGACACTTAAACCACAATTTGAGACTCTGCCATCGAGCTCATCGAAATGGGCATTTTGTCTCCACAAGTCACCGTTAGACCCCAAAAGTATTGTAGCATGCCAGGTTTGTGTCCTCACAAACATGTACACACACAGAGACAAAAGCAAACCTTCACATCTGTATTCTCCACTGTCTCTCTCTGTCAGCTGTTTCAGGGTCAGACTCAGGTCTCCAGTCTTCAGCAGGTCTTCATTCACTCTTGTCCGGTCTCTGTAATCCTGGTGCTGTTTGTGAGGCTGGTCAGAGCCCTTCTCATACACATGGACCTTCCTATCACCACTGACCTTCCACTGCACCTTGGTATCTTCAGGTAAGTTTTCTGTTGTTTTAAATGGCAGCTGGACAGACTCCGCCCCCTCACCCACCTGACAGACTGAGAGGACAACAAACAAAAGATGAGCTGTACAGACAGCAGCAGTGGGTTTCTGAGTAGAACAGAAGGAGGAGCTTTTTGTACCTCCTCACAGTACTCTGTAGTTTCACTGTGTTTACACTGTGTCTGTGCGCAGGCCTGGATCTCTAACAAAGCTTGGACTTCACTGTTGGTCCATTTCTCTGTAATTTGTTCCAGTTTAGAGCAAGCTGTTCTTCACAGTTAATGATGACGTGGATTTCACTATATACATCAGTATTTGCCTCGCACCCCACCACATGGAAACCACACAAACCTTTGACTCTGAGCAGCACTCTTTTGTATCTCTGGATCTCCCCGTAGACTCTACAGCTGTATCCTCCTTTGTCTCCATCTGTGGGGTGTTTCAGGGTCAGACTGAGGTCTCCGGTTCTCAGCGGGTCTTCATTCATCTTCGTTCGGTCTCTATAATACTGGTGCTGTTCTCCAGGCTGATCAGAGCCGTTCTTATACACGTGGACCTTCCTGTCATTGCTGTCCCTCCACACCACTTCAGCTTCTTCAGGCAGGTTTTCTGAGGTTTTGAAGAGCAGTTTGACAGACTCCACCTCCTCCTCTAACTCCATATGGCAGACTGAGAGGACAACAAATACAACATGAGCTGTAGCAGCAGGTTTTCAGAGTTGTAGAGAAAACTGAAGGACAGAAGCAGATCAAAATCTAAAACCTGGAGATATCTTTTTTTTTTTTTTGAAAGATTCTTCTGCAGAGGGCTTTGGTTTGGTTTTGTGTGTCTAAAATAGACTTTATTAGTAGCTTCTTATTTTCTTTATAATTAGAATTGTCAAGTCTGGTGCATAAGGGGCCGGGCTTTAGGAGCCATTTATGTTTGTGTGCCTCTGTTTTTACACTATGATATGTCTTTATGGCACAGTTTTAAAGGTAGGTCCATTTAATTACCATCAGGTGTTGTTGGTCAGTAGGACCTAAAGGTTGTTGTGATCAATGTTCAATGATTTTGAATACTAAGAGGAACTGTTAAACTATGAAAACAACCAATGGCGAGCAATAAATGTGTTAAATGAACAAGATATGTACAGTTGGAGTTATTACACTTTCTCAAGTTTCAATGGCATCTGCAGCTCACACACACAAAACAGCACTGACCTTTGACTTTCAGCTCAACTTGTTTCATCATCAGGATGTTTCCCTCCCTGCTGTAGGCGGTGCAGGTGTACGTGTCTGTGTCCCAGTCTGTGGGGTATTTCAGGGTCAGACAGAAGTCTCCAGTTCTCAGCAGGTCTTCATTTATCTGTGTTCGGTCTCTGTAACGGTGGTCCTGATCTTGAAGCTGGTCAGATCTGTTCTCATACACGTGGACCTTCCTGTTGAATCTGGTCTTCCACTCTACTTTAGCAACTTTAGGCAGGTTTATGGTAGTTTTGCAGGGCAGCAGGACAGATGCCTCCCCTGAATCCACCTCCACCTGGGGGACTGAGAGGAGAACAAACACAGCATGAGTTATACAGACTGAAGCAACTCCGAGCATGTTTTGACTGGTTCAAATGACATATTTTCAACGAAATGTTTGACTGGTTCCAGTCTGAAACATGTCCCATTGGCCCACTGAACATAAACAGTTTATTTTTTTATTTCTGTCGAATTGGCAGCAGAGATAAAGTTCATCCAAACCAAATGAGGCTTGTCTATGACAAGATTTCTTCTTTCAGGAACTCTGGAGCTCTACTTAAAGAAATACAAAATAATCAATACAATTCATCAGTGATTCCATCAGTGAACTGATAAACAATCCTTCAGTTTTATGATGATTTATTTCATCCAGTTTGCTGCTGCTCAATAAGCTCTGCCTTTCTAAACCACTGAGAACCTAAACTGGAGAAGAGGCTGAAGGATGAAGAGAAAATAGTGTCAAATATAAAATATGTTTATTGTATGAAACTATGTTCAGACCTCTGACATGGAGCTCCACTCGTTTCTTCTTCAGCATGTTTCCTTCCCTGCTGTAGACGGTGCAGGTGTAAGTGGAGCTGTCGTCATCTGTGGGATGTTTCAGGGTCAGACTGAGGTCTCTAAATTTCAGCGGGTTTCTGTTCATCTCTGTTCGTCCTCTGTAAAACCGGTGCTGTTCTCCACGCTGGTCACGTCCGTTCTTGTACACATGGACCTTCCTGTCATCTCTGACCTTCCACTCCACTTTAGTGTCTTTGAGGAATCTGACAATAGCTTTGCAGGGCAGCTGGACAGACTCCACCCCTGAATCCACCTCCACCGTGTAAACTGAAAGGACAACAAAGGACAACATGATGATATCAGCAGCAGCTGTGATGGTCACATGAACTCCCTGTCCCCTCCTTGTCTTCTAGTCTCAGTCAGATTGTGTCTCAGGCTGTATCTAAATTCATGGGCTGCATCCTCCTGAGGATGCATTTGTAGACCGATTACGTCGCAGCGATGCGCCGAAGGCTGTCCAAATTCGTAGACTCCTCCGAATGCAGCCGACAAATGCGTCCTCCGTTTCCCCGAATTTGAAGGATGGGT